TTCCTGCTGCCGCGATGCTTACCAGCACACATGAAGGGAGCGCTCCTGCCGGGACTTGGAAACCAGCATGAGATTTTACAGATAATAGATCCTTCTGATACTTGGGCCTGTTGGAAACTGCTGCTGCTCTCCTCATAGGGACAGTTGGTTTTACTCTCTGCCTCTGATTTCTAAAGGAAAGCTTCTCACCCACATCCTCCCTTTCATGCTGCTTGTCGCTTTTGCTGTGGTGTCTGGTGGGCCATGTCCTGTTTCTGCTGCTCTTTTCACCAGAGCTCTTCCCTAGAGTGGGGCTCCGAAACTTCCTAATCTGCTCAGAGATGAGGTCCCTCGATAATGGCATGGATCATGTCCCTTCCTTTTGGGGAGAGAGGAGACCTTGCAGCATTGTCCATCGTGCTCTGGTCCATCCCACCTCCATCTCAGCTGCTTTCCCACCTGGCTCCAGTAGTTTTCCCCCAACTGTACCTACCTAATGAGGGATGTTCTCTCTTCCCATGGATCTTGCCTACCTTTATTTAAGTGCACAACAGGCAGAGGAAACCCTGGCTTCTCTGTGTAGGCCATCTAAGCCCACTCTGACCCTGGATAGTGTGGTTCTGCCCCCACATCTCTCCCCGCTCCCTGTCCCCAACTTTAGTGCTGGCCACAGCAGGCAGGTGAGAGCTGGTGTAGCTCAATAACCCAACTGAAATCTAATCCTGCAACACCAAAAACGCAAATAATTGGTTCTCAGCCAACTCAGCTGGCTGCTCCAGCTCGCCCCACAAGAGCTGGCGCTGACACAAGCGAGGGGTCAGGAAAGCCTCTGATCATGCCTGCTCTCAGGCCGCATGGTGCAAGCCCCCTGCATGGTACAGGGCAGTCCTGGGGATCCTTCGTTCATGCTTTTTACCCCATGGCTTCTTAAAACAAAATGCTCAGAGCATCCTGGGAGCAGGCGGTCCCTGAGTTGGGAGTGAAGGGTGCTCCAGCCGTGGCCTTCACACGCGTCTCCTGATACAACATGCCCCATCCCAGAGGTGAGCTGAGAGAGAGCCCATGTCACTGCAGGACAGACTATTCTGCCTCGGTGGCCTCTGCCACTCTTGAACTCTTTCAACTGCTGGTTATTAATTCAATATGAGCCTTTGGGTTGTGGATATAATTCACATTTAATCTGGCAATGGTTTACAACATCACACAATATTGTAGTGAAGAGGAAAAATCAATGTGTCCTGTAATGATTGCTGCCGTGTAACAAACTCCAGGTAGGACTAAACGAAACCCAGTTTTGCAGTGGGCCCAAGGATCACTAAGTCCAGGCTATTTTGGACTCAAAAAATAGGTGGGGGAGTGAGTGGACTGGAATTTGTTTAAGAGGACTTTAACCTCTTTGGTAGCAGCCCGTCCTCTCCACCGCCAGGCATAAAAAAACCCCAGAAAGACTGATAGCTTTAAGAAATTAAGCATGTCTATCTCCAACTTCATGTGTGTTGCATTCAAGTAAGACGAAGAGGCAAATAGTGACAAGTAATTGGACTTCTCCAGCTTTTTTTACTTTTAATAGTCTAACATTGTTAGTAACATAGTTGGCACTTCAAAATATATATTATTTTATTTCAATAATATTCCCTTAAGTCTGTAGTTTTACTTAAAGAAAAATCACCTTTTGCCATAAATACTGTGTTGCTGTTCAAAACACTCTTGTCTGTTTGTGCTAGGTTACCTCTACAGTGCAACTGAGACCAGGCTAACATTTACAAGTTTCTACTGCCACTTCCTCTGTGTTAAAAAATGACGTTTTTCTATAAAAACACAAACAAAGAAAGTTTTACTGCATTAAAAAAAAGCCCTACTGTCAGTTGAGCGTGTTTCCACTGTCATCAGCAAAAGGCATTCTCTGAGGTCCCTTTGAGTGGGTTTCACTTTGGGTTAGAGGGAAATCTGCCGTTCGGCAGCTTCTTTCTCCTTCACAGGACGAGAGCCAGTCTTTGAATGCAAAGCGACCTGGCTGAGAGCCAGGCACGCAGGCAGAATAGTGTTCGTGTACTTTTTATTATAATACAAAAGGAAAGTCAAGTTATATAAATGGGCCTTTGTAGTGCAGCTTTCTTTTTTTAATCTGTAACAGATAAGAGAACTGTGTCCCCATTTAAGACTTCATATGGTGAAAGATGGCTGACATCTGAAGTTGCAAGAAGTCACCTGGCATCCGGCCACTGATTTCAGTGGTGGGGTGGATTTTTTCTTGCACAGATGTTGAGTCCAGATGTCTGACCGAACCCAACTCAAGAGCTGTACTTTGCTAAAAAGGAGTCCCTATCCTCTCACTAAAAGCAGAATTAAAAAATCACACTAAATAAAGTGAACTAAAAACACAGCTGGATTGGTCAAACAGGTACAAAAGGATTGATCTCAACAGCAGCATTACGATGTTTCCAGCACGCAGAAGGGAGAAGGTCGATGGCTCTTTCACATCAGGGGTCCTATGGGGCACCATGTGCTGCTCCAGAGAAGGCACTGGGGATTTGATGGGACCCTGACGTTGGCAGACTTCGCACGCTGAATTCCTTCTAGGTCTGTAACAAGGTTCACTGTGCCCTGAAAGAGCTGAGCTGCTAATCACAGTCCTGGATATCAATGTACACAAAGAGGGTGGAGGAGGAGTACGGGTCTCCGTTCTTGGTCAGAAGATGGATGTGGCGGTAACCTGGAAGCAGAGACACAGATGGAAAGTGGCCTTTAGTCCAGTCGGAAAAACATTTGCTAACATTTGCCAAGGCCCTGCAAAAACACCTCCCTGTCTCTGAGAGTGTTTTGCTCCCGGTACCCCACAGAACAGGTAGGTCTGAGAGGCATGGCTTTGAGCATTGGTAACATAACGTGCCCAAGGCCACTGGTGACAAGGGCATCCCTTCCCCAGAGACAGTGTTAACAGCTGCCCAATAAACCATTTATCCTCTTGCCCACACCCCAGAGAGACGACCTGTTCTGACCCGAGGTGCGGTGGGTCTGGACCTCTCACCCAGGACACTGGAGCTTCCCAGAGGGCTCAGTGGTTGTGAGGAACAGGGAGCAGAGCCTTACCTTGCTTCAGACTAGTGAAGGGAAGGGTGTACTGCCCGATGAAGTCATTCTTGGTCGACATGTCAAAGTCTTCCACCACAAACCGGACCAGGGCAAGTGCAGGAATCTCTACATCAAAGGTAAACTCTTCGTCCCATTTCGGGTTAAAGCCTGGGCAACACAAACAAGGAAGGAGGTGAGAGATGCTCACAAGCAAGGGTGGAAGTCAGAGATGTTGGCAGATAAGGATGGAGGTCAGAGATGCATGCAAATGGATGGAGACACTGCCTGACTCCCAACCTAATCTGACCAAGGACAAAGGTCTCAGGAGGTGCCTAGACTATTGTTCCCAGCTCTGACACTGATTTGCTACCTGGTATTTATAAATCCTTCAGCTTAGGCTGCTCGTTGCAAACCTCACCACTATGCTCCCAGAAGGCAACGAGGAGCAGGAGGGAGGTGAACTCAGCTCTGCTCCACAGGCTCTCGCTGGCTGATACATGGATGTCTTTGGTTGCCATTGGACCAGCTGCAAATGTTTACAACCCTAAAACAGGGGGGGAGCAGAGAGGAGAGCTGTGCCTCTGTGTTGTGACAGCCTTCTGGGGCCTTAAGCCTCACTGAGTGCTCAAGGTACACCCATCTGTCACACTCTGTGCCTCAGTTTCCCTGTGTGCAAGAAAGGTTAATGAGGAGTGTCTGATTACAAAAAGCATCATCAGGTCTGTGGACAAAATGTTTTATGTCTCCCTGTATAAGGGCAGTGTCTGAGACAACCAGACTAGCCCCACTTCTGTTATGGATGAGGATCTTGTGATCCGGACTCACAAAGTAAACAATATCAAGACCATCACATCAAATGAGAGATGAAGAGCAAACTCAGTGCTCTCTCTCCAGGTCACAGCGGGTGCTCTCTGCAGTTTCAATAAACGGCTCGCCAGAAACAAACAGGAGGAGAGGACATCCTGTTTGAAACCCTGCTGCCATCGCCCCAGCCTGTGCAGAGTGGAAGCCCAAGGACATCAAAATGTCAGCTCAAGCCTGCTGGTAACGGAGGCTCTGTGGACAATTTGGCAGGAGGCAGAGATCTTTCAGCTGGCCCTGAAGATGCTGAGATAGGCCTGTGGACAGTACCATAGAAAAATACCTGTGCTGGGTTGGTGCACTTTATTTGGACTTTCATGGGATTAAATCAACTGGACTGTTCAAATAATGCACATCTGCTCCTGACCCCCTTCATCCTTGGGAAAAAAAAACAGTGTTGCTGATCCCATGGGAGCGGAAATCATGAAAGTTGAGGGAAAGTCGTCAGCCCTAGGACAGTAGGTTTCACTGTACTGACATCTATGGGGGGATTTTCAACCCATCTCAGAGCCATAGTGAGATACTTAGAGCTGCTGAGCCAGCAGGTTCCCACAGCCTCTCGAGCTCCACAGCTGCACCGCTGGGGCCTCATCTGTGCCCACACCCCATGCTTCAGTCCCACCAACATCAAACCAGGTGAGCTGCTGAAGCACGGTCACAGATCTGAAACCTCAGCCCATGCAATGCAACCCCCCCCTCTGCAGCTGCCCCTTTCCAACATTGATGTTTGCATGGTTTGATTCACTTTCCATTGGGCAACACTCCCTCCAGCATCTCTCCAGTATCACTCCAGTATCACTCCAGCCAGCCAAGGGGGGCCGGGTGTGCTGAGCAGCCCTGAGGAACGGGCCTGGCAGGTCTGAAACGTTCACTACACAGCTTTCACTCGAGACATTATAAAAATCATTGTAGGTGACAGAAATGGCCGTGAGCTTTAGGAACTGGGCCAGATTTACTCAAACAGAAAAGAGGAAAAGGTAAATATTGTTAGCAGGGAGGAAAATATGCATTGGCTTTCCAGCACTTGGCTCTTGTGTGTGTGTGTGTGTGTACACGTACATGTGTTAGCAGGAAGGTGAGGGCTGATTTTTCAGACTCCTACTGTCTCGTTACTCCCACAGGGGAGAGGACTGAACTTGCCCTCTATGATCTCTGAAGGCCACAGTATTCAGACCCTCACTGCACAGAGGGAAATCACAGCCATGTTTCACCAATGAGAAATGGTTCACAGGGAGGTGAAATGTCTGTGAGATCTCTGAGGTCAGTGCTGGGTAAGGCATGAGCCCGGTTCTTTGGAGACGGGGGCTTATGGCTTTCACCCCGCACCTGTAACATTGCTGTGATGTGCATTAATTTAGCACCAGTACCACTTCGGCTGAGAGGACAGTGGACGCAGTGTCCCTGCCTTGTGAGGAGGCTCTGAACTACAGGAAATGTTCTCCTTTTGCACAGAATATGTTACATATGAGAAGAGGCTGACAGAGGTCGAGTTATTCAACCTGGAGAAGGCTAAGGGGGTTATTATTGCCATCTTCCACTACCTCCTCATAGAGAAGATAGAGCCAGGCTTTTCTTACAGGTGCACAGCAAAAGCTTGATGCATAATGGGCACAAACTGCCACAGGGGAATTTCTGGTTAAGAATAGGGATATCATTTTATCGGGAGGTCAGTCAAAGACTGGATCACTTGAGAGAGCCCAGAGAGTCTGGGGAATCTCCATCTTTTGAGATATTCAAAATTCATTGGGGCAATACCCTGAGCAACTTGAGTTAACTTTGAGAACGGTCCTGCTTTGGGCAGGGGCTGGAACAGACACCTCTGAAGTCCCTTGCAACTTCAATCTTTTGTGTGTTTGTGACACTTTCAGGATAAAATCAGCCTTACAAGAAACCTTCTCTGGGAAGATCTTGGTGGGGACGCGTGCATCCCAGGTCAACCTCCAACTGCATGGAGGTAAAGAGCACTTCCAGCGCTCTAGCTCTGCAAATTTGGCAGCCAGCCTCAAAACAACTCATATGGCTGATGTTGTTTTCTAGGGAATTTCTGTCTCCAAACATCTTAGAGAGAGAAGAAAGGAAAGACCCCCTGAAAGTAATTCTCCATAGGGACATCAGTCTGTGGGGCTAGTTCATGCCACCAGTGTCTATAACCCGGGTCCCTGCACTGAAGCAGGCCAACAGCATCTCATGTATCTGCTTAGCGTGGCAGGCTTTGGTGTACCTGGGCAGGTCTGGCTACAGGGCAGCAGTCCTGGCAAGGAACACTCTGCTACGTGAAACCACAGGGTTACTGCCCCAGTGGAGCACAGCCTGGAAGAAAATCCCTTACCATTGTTTTCAATGACCTTGGTCTGCTTCTTGTTGTTATCCTGTTGGACGCCATGGATCTCTACCGTTACCTTAGGATCAACGATGGAGTTTTTGCTTTTGTTCACCTTGGGCAGCTGCTGACCAGAGATGATCTGTCGAGGAAACAGAGGAAGAGGTCAGGACATCATTAGGAGGGGGGGCTCCCTGGCAAACTTCCCTCTCCTTCCCCAGGAGTGCGGGACCTGTTGTGACAAGCTGGTGCTGGTCTTTCACAGCCAGCGTTGTGACATCCTTCAGAGGAAGTTGTCATGAGCCAAAGCACCTAATGAACATTGTTCCAGCCCAGCCAGCTGGCTAGGGGACAGGCAACTTTTCTAACTGTCCCCACAGTGATCAGATGATACTTGGAAACAACAGTGGTGACTGTTGACTGCATGTCTGCCTGTATGTTTCTGTAATGACAGTGAATATTGCCACTAACCTCTCCTATTGCCAAACATTAAACATGTGAGTAAGCCCCTGGAGGATGAGAGCCCATGCAGGACTGAAGCAGAGACCCCAGCGGTGGGAAATGAGTAGGGTTAGGATGACATTGCCCAGGTGGCACCAGGAGAAGGAGAAGGTACAACCTACACACCCCCCCTGAAGGTGGATGCTACTGAGACATTTTCTGACTTCTATTCTTACTTTAAGCAGAAGCTTCTTCTTTGTCCCCCATGTTCCTTCTGTGATGGATTTTGGATTGAATTTGGTTTGCTCATCCCGGAGGAATTCCGGCTTTAAGACATACCCAGAAAACCCATTGTCCTGGAACCGACCCTGGTAGACATCCATTTCTGTGCCTGCTGTCTGGAAATTTAGGGCAACTGCAACACAAACAAATAAATTCAGTCACTTTCAGATAAATCAATGGGAGTCTTTTTATACTAATTCTGTTCACATGAAATTGCACTTCATGGACATAAACATTGGCTTTTCCATGCTTCAAAGAGCAGTGATAAACTCTGACCCTCACAGTCTGCTACCGCTGAGGATTTCTTGCATTCAGAGATGTTAGAGACAGGACGAGCCACTACAGCCATCTCAGTTGTCCTCCTGCCTGCCACAGGGTCAAAAAGCATCCTGCATTGAATTTCTGTCACCTGGTTGGGCAACTGCATCTTTTACATAAACCTATTCATTTCTATGCTGAAGGAGATATCTCCTGCAGTGAAGCCAGCAAATTCTTCTCAGATTGTTTCTCTGGCTACTTAGCCTCATTATAAAACCTCCCTTCCAGCCCAGATATGCCTATTTCCATTTGCATTCCTGAGGGGCATTGATGCCTCTGTTGGTTAGACTAGAGAGCTCCTTACTGTCTGAAACTCTCATGCAGGAGTTCAGAAGTTGTGATCAAATCACCTCTTTATTGTCCCCTGCCCAAAATAGATCAAGCCTCACTGGTGTCCTAACACCAGGCAGATTTCTTGTATTCTTTCCAATTTGCCACTGTCTTTTTAAAAGCATTGATGTCAAATCTGGAAGCAGTCTCAGTGAACAGTCTCACTAATACCACACAGGCAGCGCTCATGGACCCCAGCACCTCCTCAGTACCCCATTGATTTCTTTAGGGATGCTAACCTCTTTAGCAACTTCTAAGACAGCTCTAGGACAGATGGCAATTTATCCTGGTCCTGGGTCCTACATACCCTGTAACACTTGAAGGCCAAAAGCATTTTAAGGCACCCCGCTTTTTTTCCACCTGCAAGCAAGACTTTAATAACTGCAGTATACTGGTTTTACTGGGAGCTGCAAGTACTCAGGGCTTCTGAAAAATCTTATTTTAGGTGCCCAAATATTGAATTCAGGTCAGATTAAGGCATGCAGGTCTGGCCTTAGCGTATCCGGAGGGACCTGATGTTGCCTACCAGGGACTCTCTTGAGGCCAGACTCAATGCTGGGGAGACAGGCCAATGGGTGCTACCTGTGCCCCCCACGGGGGCTGCAGGACCCAGCGAGTTCATATGCTGCCAGGCACATCCAGCCCATGCAGGTCGACACGGCTGGGGGCCAGGGAGCCCTGCATCTGCAGCTTCTCTTGTCTGGCTGGGCCACATAGGCACAACTGGGACATCTCTAACATCCAGCATCACCAAGAGAGCCAAGCATGTCATCACCAGCCTGCCCACTTACCGCTGCACCAGGTTTCCTGGATGAGAGCTACAACATAATTCACTTACCAGGCCCTGGGACCCTTGTTTTCATCAAATCTCTGGGACATCAATATACCATCAGGGGCCTCAACACCCTGGGAATAGGTATGATGTGCTGCTTTTACTACAGGGAACAGTTCAGGCCACGGCTTGGCTCTTATGGTTATGGCCTTGCTTTAGGGCTCAAGAGAGCTGAGTTTGATTTCCATCTCTGCCAGACATTTCAGCATGCTTTTCAGTAAATGACCACAGCTCCTGGCTCCCTCCACCTTTGCTAAATGGCAATAACTCTGTCTCCAGTGAAATTGCAGGGAAATGCACATTAATGTGCAGGAAAGGCTCTCCTAACAATTTTGAGGTGGGCCAGAAAATGGTCTGTGAAAAGTCATTGAGCATTGCCTGAAGAGCTGACCTCTCCCAGTGACCACTGAGCCTCTCTGCCTGCAAATGGCTTGAGATCACACATCTACCTCAGTTGAAACCCTGCCACAGCCAGGTCACAGGCGATCCAGCCAGGTTGACCCTCTCCATCCTCCCAGTTGCACTCACCGATCTGGCAGCCGACGTTCCACAAGTCAATGGGGTTGTAGTTGGAAGAATCTGTCCTCCAGCCTGCAGGGTAGATCCGGCTCAGATGCCTGATGTTGTGATGAATAAAACTAGTTCCTACAGAAAAAAAAGAAGAAAATGGCCCTTTTGGTGATGGGGGCTACTTTTATCTCTTCTTGATGCTGCTCTATATACTGCTCCTCTGCCTAGCGAGTCTGGCTGTATAAAATGCCTGTATAAAATGCCCTTCTTGGTAACAGCATCCATGACATTGTTATTCCCACTGTTTCTCAGTGAGATGCATGGCCAAAGAGATTATAACCCCTTTTCTTCATGCTTAACCATAACTAGCTGTCCCTTTATGGGGTACTGGGACAGAGGATGTTTGCCAGGGCAGAACATACATACCAGACTCCTGGGCTAGTTTCAGAGCTTTGCTTTCCGTGAACGATGACATCTCGTAGAAAGCCCGAGGATGGCTGGGGTCCTCAAAGCCATTGAAATGGACACTCTTGCAGTAGACAACTGTGTCTGATAGCTCCTTGGCCAGCTTCAAGGTGTCACTCTAAAAGCAGGAGGGCATGAGGTTTGTGGGGAGTTTCTGCAGTCATACTCAAAAGTAATAATCATGTTTTACCTAGGACCCCTGGGGCTTCTCTTCTCCACCATCTTCACATGAAAAGGATGCACACTACCAACACTCAGTGGCACCCCTATGCACAGAGAGGGTGGAAAAGGGGCAGGCTGCCCTTGCATGTCCCTTTCCCTGCATGGAGAGTGCTAATCCCTCCTCTCAGAGCACCAGTGCTCTCTCAGGCCCATCCTGGCCTGTCCAATGATATCACTGACTTCCCAAGTGTTACTACCAAAAATATTTCATTTCATCTAGGCCATCCCTCCTTCTGCATTTATTTGCATGTTCTTATGTGAATGAGTATTTCAGCTTGGCTATCACAACTCACAAGTGATGGGTCTACAAACACAGGAACAACCCATCAGCCTGTATTGGGGAGCTAAGAGAGCATTTGCTGATGCTTTGCTGTCCCAGCACCCTTGTTGCATGACGTTCTCCACATGGATTCTCTCTTTGTTGGTGGGATACCCTTTCTGCTGCTCTCTACATGATCTCTTGTATTTCAGCATCAATGGCTGTCTCCAGTTGCTAAATTTTACAACAGAGCCTTAGCAATGAGTTTTCCATACTGTCCTGGTCCCAAGATGCAAACCTGGAAATAAGGGGAAGGGAAGGATGTTTTGGCCTCCACAGAGCTTGGGCTTTTTTCCCTTGAACTAGGAAGTTCTCACAATGCTTTGATGCCTCCTACTCCACCGCCATATTCATTGGTGCAAGGGTGAAGTGAGAGTGACCAGCTCCCACCAGAGGCAAGAGAAGAAAATTACAGACTTCAAAATTATACACATTATTGACTACACTTCAGAGAAAGAAGTAAGACCCTCAAAGAGTCAGCAAATCAGCAAGGGGAAGCATAGATCAGATCAGATCCAGAGGCAACGTCAATATCAGGGACTGAATGTATTTATATCACATATGAACCTGGTCTGCAAGAGATATGGCCTTCACAATGACCTGCAGTCTGGAAAAATGAATGTCCTCACATGAGGGAGCAAAACACTGGTGTAAAGGCCAGCCTTTTCATCCCAGAAATATTCATCCCAATTGCTTTGGTAACTGGCCACCCCTTCCCCATAGATCCGTAGCTCTTCCCTCCCTCTTCTGGGTTAGAAAAACATGGCTGGTGAGGTTGCAGGTATGTCCCAAAATGTGACTAGAAAAGCACCAGTCTCTGTTAATAAACAAAGTCATGATGATCCCATGACAAATAGATTATGGAAATCAGAGAGAGATAGATTGAATATGTGCCCTTCCACTGCTTCCATAAATGCTACATGGTCTGTCCCAGCTGCAGGGTCCTCCAGCCTCATTTTAAGGAAAGAAGCCAACCTTCATGCTTGGCTGGCTCTGCAAGATCTCTGTTTCTGCTTGGGACAGAGATCATTAAGCTGAGCAAGGACCAGGATCCTTAACTCCAGCAATTTCAACAATTCACCCTTACATATCCCCAGCTGAGTAGCTGAAACCACACTGAAAACTGTCTTAGCTGGGAACATATTAAAATTATATTTATTTCAATTGCTTTTCTTTTTTTTTTTAGGCATGGTACAAAATCTACCTAGAAAGTGATTTCCCAGCATGAGTCATGGGATAAGCTAACAAGACGTGATTTCCTGATGCAGGACTTCAGAGCCTTCTGCAATAGGCAAAGATCTTGTTTACAGCTTTTCTGCCTCTCCAGGTCTGCCCCTTTTCAGGACTCAGTTACTTCTTTTACTTACCTTCCCCTTCTGCTGTATCTCGGTCTTTACAGATTCATCTTCGATTTCAGCTGCTTCATCTTCATCAGAGACATCCTCAGCCTCCAGGTTGTTGTTCCCATTTGTTCCGGTGGGGTCCTCCTGCCTGCTCAGCTTCTTGCCTTTCACAAGGATCTTCCCTTTCAATTGCTGCACAAGGAAAAGTGGACAAAATAGCTGGTGATTAGAAAAGGTTCTGGCCCACCCTGAAGGAGCAAGGATATAATAGCTCCTCAGCTGCAACCAGGGCCAGGGCCTTTTAGAGTTCCATCAGTCACTGGTTATTATCCATAGATACCGGTAAAAATAAGTCTGTTTTTCCACTGAGGCCTTGCCCTGCCTCTGGCCAGCCTCTGAGACCACAAGCCACAAGTTTGAAAACCCCAGATAGCCCACTGATTCTGCTCTGATACAGAGCTGTCCCCTCAACTAGACAACTTAAACTGTTGTGCTGTTAGAGGCAATAAAAATATACTATTTTTTCAAAACTGAATGTGGCTCGGCAAACAAGGCCAAGCCTGGAGGTCAGGGCTCATGGGACATATTCGCAGCACTGTTTCTGCCCCTCTGTGTGGCCCTGTTATTTAATCTACCCTTGTCTCTGCAATGTATGGTTATAAACAAATGCAGAACTTGGGAAACGGTATGAGATCCATGCAGGGGCTGAAGCAGTGCAGCCCTCTGCTCCACCAGACATTTTAATGGGGAGAGAGGTCCATTAAGTTCTGGACAGGTGCCTCGTGCATAGCAGACATGGAATTTTAATATGTAAGGGATCTTGCAGGTGAAACCTTAGGGTGTTTACAGCCTAAGGAAGAGTTCCCAGACCCTTCCCAAAGATACCTCCTCTTCTGAAAAGAACTTCTGCAACTGCTACCGTGGTACAACAGTAATCATAACCAGCAGCATGTGCCAACGTAACACAGCTGGCTGCTGAGCTAAACCAAAGAGCACATTTCTTGTGCTGAATCAACTCTCTCCAGCCTCTTTCAAAGTCCACATAAAACCTTCAGGTGAAGGGACACACCAACAGCGCATGGTTGCTCGCAGACCACCACACTACTGACGTATCTCTTGTGCAAGATCTGACTGTGGGAGGAAGGCTGAAGCCTGGAGAGGGCTGACTCTGAACCCAAACAAGGCAGTAGTGATGTTGGCAGCAGGGAGCAGTACTGAGAAGGGTGACTGCCTGGGTGCAATCCCCAAGTGAGTGGATTATGCTACAAAATCAGTTAATTCAGTCCAAGAGCACCCCCAGATCCTGCAGCTTCCAGTGAAGTCAGTGGGAGATTTGCTGCCACATGGATGTGTTGGGTAGTCCTGGCTTTGGAGCGTGCTAGTTATTCTAGAAAAATGCAATCTCAGTATTAGCCAATACAATCCCTCACCCTGCGTAGTATGTCTCCCCCGCTCTCAGTGACACCCTGTATTTGCCCCTTCCACAACAGCAAAAGCAACGTTCTCAAATGACAGGACTGTGGAAAACCAAGGATATTTTATAAAGCAACACAGGCAAACACAGCTTTTCAAAGAACATTATTCCCCCTCTATGAGTGCAAGCAAATTGGATCATGTCTTTTCAGAGACCAGTCCAACTCCTCACCACCCAGCTAAGCTGTGGATGAAGCTTAGTTTGAGCTGAAATTTGACACTGGCACCCGAAGCAGCAGAGAAGAGCATTTTCTTCAACAAATGAACTGTTTACACTGGGGCACTCTCCCTGTCACTCAAAAGCTACACAAAGGCAGATGGAAGGAATGTACCAGTTACTGGGAATAAAAGGCCCAAAGGAGCAGTCAGAGCATGGCAGTATCCTCCTCCCCATCCCCAGACCATCCTCCCAGCCCCTCAGCCCTCTTCCAGGCAGAGCTGTGACCTGCTTCTTCACATCCATGGCTGGGAGATGAGTCAGCTCATCTTCAGAGTCTCACTTCAGCAGACATGTTGCTTGCATGTCTCTAACCACCCTCCTGCCCTCAACATCTAGCTCTTCCCTGTCCTTCCACAACACCCACTGGTAGAAGGTGAAATGCAGCTCTGTGTGAGTTTCTATGCTCCTGTCAATACTTTGAACGCCTGGAGGGATTGCACTGGGGACAGCGGGGAGGGGAACAGAGAAGTCTCTCTTGTCCTTCGCAGGCTGCAGATAGCATCCTGCTATATAATATATTATCTGCTTCTAGTTTCTTACGTCCCGTAAGAAACCTTACCACCTCATCTCACAGCTCAACAGTAGAGAACCAGGGATAAGGTATTTGGGGCAGGTTGCTTGATTCTTAATTACTGGTCTGGCTACTAGCTGTTTTTAAGCTTGTCCAGTTCAGGACAGCCTGTCCAGCAAGTGAGAGGTGTAATTTCTGGCACAAACCCACGGATGGCTGAATAACATCAGCAGTGAAGGCACAGCAACACGGCCTCCACCTTGTCTCCTCGTCACACCTAGGGCTGCCAGCAGTGGGTCCTTGGTGCTGCTGTTATCCTGTCTAGACTGTGGTTACTCTGGGAAACCTTGGATATGCTGCAGATGCTCCCCATGGGCACAGGGACACTGCTCAGCCCAGACTGTGTTATACAAGACTCTCCGTAGGGTAATTATGGTGCTCCCCTTTGGCCTTGAAATCTAAGAGGTTGGATCCCTTCTGGAGTCTTGTTAACATTGCAGAGGTTTAGTATCCCCCTGTGCAGGTGACTTCCACCATGCCTACAAGGGAGAGGAGTCTACATGCCACTTAACTCCAGAGGAGATGCGTTAGCTTATTGGTCCACAAAGAGGGATGAGATTCACTCCAAAACAGAGCATTTTCATCTCCATTTCCTGCAGAAGGTGCTATTTTATAGCAGCATTGCACTGAATCCACCTTGTAGAAGCTGCCAGTCCCAAACATTGTCTTCCTTCATTTAATATGCTAGTAAGCAAAGTCCTAAATTTGAATGCTTATCTTCTTCAACAAGGTTTTAAATAAGCTGATACACACAGACACAAACACACACATGCACTTATTCCATCTCTCTTGGTTCCCCTTCATGTGATATTAAGTGTTTCTAGCCTGAGGCGAAAGACACTCAGCTCATCAGTTCAGCTCTGTTGAGCAGATCCCTTGTCTCAGGAAGAAGCATTAGCTTAAATACTGAATAAATATTCTCTAAGTAGACCATAAAGCTATTCCAACTGCCTGTGGCAAGCCCAAGGTTGAATACAACCTAAGAAAATTGGAAAGGCTACAAGGACACTGGACTCTACTGAGAACGTATAGTACAGACACTCAGCTCATCAGTTCAGCTCTGTTGAGCAGATCCCTTGTCTCAGGAAGAAGCATTAGCTTAAATACTGAATAAATATTCTCTAAGTAGACCATAAAGCTATTCCAACTGCCTGTGGCAAGCCCAAGGTTGAATACAACCTAAGAAAATTGGAAAGGCTACAAGGACACTGGACTCTACTGAGAACGTATAGTACTGTGCGGAATAGATGTTTTCCCTTCCTCATGTGCCCTGTAAATCACATTGCCTTAGTTCTCCACAAGTGGAGCTCCCCTGCTCTCCCACCTTTTCTCCTCCATGCTGAACAACCTCAGCTCTGCAAGTGAGTCTGTGAATTGGGACACGGCAACCATCTTAAATGCACTTTAAAATCAGCACTGCTGATTTTATCAGAAGGAGCAAAGCTGTAAAGAGCAGAGGATTTGAAAAGATCTGCATATACATGCTTATCCTACCTGAAAGTTTCTTGCCCCTATTAGCAACCTGAAAGCCACGACAAGGTCTGATATCCAGTTTTCATCTCAGTGGGAGTGGGAGATTAGTAAAGTGATCCACCTCATCAAACTTTCTGTGCCTTCAACACCTCCTCAGGTGGATTTAATTTAATTCTCTCATCAAACTTTCTGTGCCTTCAACACCTCCTTTAGAGTCAGCAGAGAGAATTAAACACTCCCAGGGTGTGATTTTTCTTGTCTATTTAGACAAACACTTAGGAGGAGGTGAACCACACCTCCAACTCCCCTGGTTGTATTAACTAGTTCTCAAAAGGAGCCCAAAGTGAAGTGCTCACGTACAAGGATATACAGGGTCTGAGTACTTCCACCTTACATTTCACTCTCAGGATGAAGATATCCATCTCCCCAGATTTCTGAGAAGCTGTGAGGATTAACATGTTCACGTTCATAAGGAGACGTGCAGACCAGATGCACTAATTGATATTACATCTCCATCTGTGTATGTCTTTCAGCCTAGTTGTAAACTGAAGTGTTGCAGGGTTTAACAATGAGTGGCAGCAGAGGATGAAGAGAGTCTCCAGAAAAGGGGAAGAAACATATTATCAAAGGAGGTTTTGAGAGATTTGAGGGAAACCCAGCTTAAGAACTTCAGCCAAGAAGATGCACTGCAGACAAGGCTAACACAAGCTGGGCTAACCTTGGAGAAATCATAGAATCATAGAATAGTTTGGATTGGAAGGGACCTTTAAAGGTCATCTAGTCCAATCCCCCTGCCATGGGCAAAGTGCATCTAGTCCAACCCCCCTGCCATGGGCAGGGACATCTTCAACTAAATTAGGTTGCTCAGAACCCCGTCCAACCTGACCTTGAATGCATAGCTGTGGAGTTAGGCATAAGGCAGAAGGACTTGAAGCCTTGAGTGTACGGTGCAAAAGTAACCCTCCTGGGCAGATGGCTCCCAGGGTCCACTGCTGACTTAGAGACCTGAGACTGAACCTAGTCTGGACTTAGCTGAGCCAAATCTAGAGGTGTTTGCTGCCTTGCCGTGAGCACAGAGCAGAGCAGGTCAGCCACCCTGCTATTCAGATCAGTTGTGCTGAGCCCTGCATTGCCACTGCTATACTGGAAGTGGTTCCTCAGCTGCATGGCTCGAAGTGATGTTGAATGGGGGCACTGGACACAGTAATGGATGTAACTGATGGGACAGCTGGTGGGAGGTGCAGGATGGCAGAGGCCCCTGCCACTGCACTGGGGCTCCCAACTGGGAGGCTCATGGTCCTAAGGGTCACCTACCAAGACAGGTCTGTTAAACCTAAAGCCACTGTCATTGTAAATAAGGAAGTCCAGAAACAAAGAGTTGGAGGGGTTTCAGATATGCCTGATATGCTGAATAGTTGCATGCGCTGTTGGCAGCTGGTTTAGTCTCATTCCAGGGCTGGGTTTTTGCAGCATTTCTAGCTGGGATGCAGGGACAGGGGGAAGGGGCCCTGGCAGACCCCTGTGCAGATCAGGGATGGGGCAGAAGGGCCTGCAACAAGCCATCGGCAGCAGAGACTGGATCAGCTCTTCCCTACAACCCTGGCACTGCCTGGATCTTTTGTGTGGCTTTTGGCCTTTCATCCTATAGGCCTTTAATTTGCTATTGGAACCTAAAGACAGCAGCTTGAGGGAGATATTTAAATGCTCTACGCAGTGCACCACTGTTCCTGAATGGAGCCTAATAAATCAGATGCCTGCTCTGGGCTGTGGTATGAATCGTTACCATGAATCCAAACTGTGTTGATTTTCCTTGAATTACTGACACTGCCCTGCTAACACAATCTGCAGCAATTCTTCACCTGTTTTTATTTACAGCCTTTCAGCCCTCTTCCCAGATCCCACCCTTTTTCTAATATGAAAAATAGTATGTGGTCCCGGGGTTCCCCATGCCAGCTTCACAAGGAAGTGGAAAATCGAAGAGGTTTCTGGTTTGTTTGAGTTTTTTTTCCTTAATGTTTCAGCTTCAATGTACTTTCCACCAAAAAAAATCAGCAGTTCAGCCCTTTGCACTCTCCTAGTTCACATAGCAGGAAGGCAGAGGAAAAGTACCAGAGGGAAAAAGATAGATTTTGCTACATTGGCAATTTTTCTCCCTTTAAACTAAATGGATCTATCAGTCCAACGGAGCATATCAGCCCAAATCCATTCACTAAGGCAGATCTGGGCCGTTTTGTTCCAGCTGGGGCCACGTGTTCGTCTGGGCAATCAGAGCAGGAGGTTAGACAAGCACAGGAATGGGAAAAACATCTTTGGGAAGCTGGGGTCATTCCCTTACACTCACATCACACATTTCTGTCCCTGGTTTTTCTCCTTTCTTTCTTCATATCATTCCTCTGGTCACAAGGCAGTTTTGAAAAGCCATTAGCAGCTTTCCTGATCTTGCACCGGGGATAAATAGCAAGCCAGGAGGTGACACTGAAGACTTTGATTTTTCCAACTCAGTAACAGCCTGCAGAGACCTGTCTCCATGCTGGGTGTATCCTCACCCTGGGACAGTCACTTCTTTAATGGAGGCACCTCGTCTGTGCCAGGGCAAAGGTCATGCTGAAGCAGCATCATTACAAATTATGATTCATCCTAATTTATTGCACTGGTGCCGAGGGACAAACCCAGATCAGCTTCCCTCTGTGCTAGGCATTGTATCAAGCGAGGCATGACACTCCCAAACAAAAGGGGTAAGTCAGAAAGGGAAAAGAGAAAAAGGGGGAGGGAGAACAAATAGAGAAGATATTTTGGGTGGATCATTTTCCTCTCCTTTCTCCCCTGTTGACTGCCAGCTTTATCCCACCCACAAACTCCTTCCAGCTCTGGCTAGTCATTCTCATTCAATTTTTGGCAAATGATTTCTTTAGCGAAGAAATACAATTTAAAGGGAACTACAGCTATCCACAGAAAAGTCTGTTTCTGCAAACTGCTTAAGAGAAAAGAAAGAAAGAAAATGCAAACCCAAACAGTGGAAATAGATGAACATTTCATTTTGGCTTCTGTTTTGGAAATATTTTTTTTTTCATATCAAGATTCCATTTCCATTTTTTTCTAATTGTCAGCTGAAGATTTTATAGTGGTGGTCCACTGTTGAGGGCTGTATCCCTCCTTCCCCCTGCAGGGCATGTATCCTCTACGCAGCCTCCTGCCTCCCCTTGTCCTCCACGGACATCTACACAGGAAGATCATCCCCACCGCCGTGCTACCAAAGGCCATTCTCAGTGGGAGGATACTTTGTGCTTGATACAGTTTTAGGCTACCTGTACTGGTTTTCCCCTTGGATTTTGAGGGGCAAGCAATCACAGTTATCCTTCCAGCCCTCATCACTTCCTAATCAGCATTCTAGGTCTCCACAGAAGAGCACCCAAGACATTAAAGGAGGAGGGGAGTGTATGCTACATCCCTCAGCACAGAGCAAAACATCTCACCTACCATGAAATCAGGCAGTGTCTAGTCCTGCTGATTAAAAACGGAGTGATTAAAAACACAGAGAAACCTTGTAGTTACTCCTTGCGGTGCTAATCTTCCCTGCATGCGCAGCAACCTAAGAGTGCTTCAGAGGATTAGCCTGAAAAAGGTCATATTCAGCTTTGGGGTGTGGGGAGCAGACACCAGACAGACGCTCAGGATTCAGCTTCTCTGGAACAAGCCAGAAAAGCAATGTCCTCATGGGATGAAGGACATTCCCTGGCCTTGGTAAATGGATCAGGAATGTCCTCAGTCCTGCAGGGATGTCTCCTCTGAGACCTTAGACAACAAACAAGGAGCAACAGGGCATTTTGTGCTTGATGTGCAAGGCTACTTCTAGATACTTCTACTTCTTACTCCACCACTGCCCACAGACAATCTCTGTTCCTCAGCAAGTGCAGTTCCCACCAGTCCTCAGGCATATTGTCCACTACTTGGCACCCAGCAAGAAAACAGATCTCTCTCTCGTCCCACCCTCATAAGGCAGAAAGTGCTAGAGTGGCCTTGCTTACCTCTGGGGAGGGGAACTGGGATTTGTTTCCATCAACTGGGGCAACCAAGAGCATGTCCTGCAGGATCGTTGTCATGTGCTGAGCCATGACCTTCTGCTGGTCGACACTGCAATGGTTCTCCAGGGAGATGATGACAGGGTATGGTGAGGTCTAGAACAAGACAGCAACATACATCATCAGTGAACTCTACAATTTCACCAGTCTATAGCAATTGATATAAACCCCAGTGCTGTTTTCTCTGGAAATGAGTGTGTCAACAGTAGGGTCTAGCATTCTGCTAAAATGAGCATTTGTTAAAAATGGACAAATTCAACTCTGCAGTAGCTACTCAGACCTCTGCTGATGCCTTCCAGAGATGATGATCCAATGGACAGGGCACAAGGCTGGGTCGGGATGCCTCCCACAGACTTACTGCGGCACGTTGATGAGCCAATGGACAGGGCACAAGGCTGGGTCGGATGCCTCCCACAGACTTACTGCGGCACATTGATGAGGCTCCCTCTGCCTCCATTCTCCACTTGCACTGTGAAACCTACCTCAGAGGAAGGGCTGAGAAAGGAGGCTTTGAAATCATTGGGTTTGCTCAAATCCTTAGATGACATGAATCCTTCCTCCATTCGTGCATAGGCCTGATCTGGTTGCCTGTGGCTCTCCCTAGTAATTTTGTGTGCTGAAGGCATTGTCATTGTCACTGCTTTATAGCCCCCAAGGAAACTTGATACTAGCTCTCAAGTGCGCTGAAGGAAAATAGCAGAAAGCCCAGTGAGTCTGGACAGACCCAACGTTTTTTAAAGGCTGCTGGCCCAGCACTGCCATACAAGACTCCAGATCTGCTCATTCCTTTTAAAGCAAAGTAGAAGCAGTCCTTCGCATCAGTCCCTCCAAAACACATGCATGTGTGTTCCTCTAAACTAGGAACAGACCGTGAGACATCAAAGCTACACAAATCATGGGCTTGTCTGCGTTTCATTGCAGTGGGGTCCAGGATGCAGCTGTGCTTGTATAGATTCAAACTCATCCTCAGACAGTGCTCTGTCTGTCCAGCAATTCCCAAGAATGGATCTCTGCAGAAAGCAGAACACGGATGCCCAGACAGAAGGACACATCTTGTATCCATGACAAATGCTAAGGTGAAGTCTTCATTGTTTATGCTCTCTGCTGCGAGGGCAGAGACCTACTATCAGTCTTGGATTATGCAATATGAGAAATCTTAGAGGGTCCCTCATCCTTACTTTGAAAGCATAGTTCTTGATGGCCTTAATGACATCGCTGAAGAGGATCTTGGAGGTGAGAGTGTAGCCATGATAAATGACGGGCTCCGAGTTAGGGCCATCCCAGCAATCCAGTTCCACACAGCGGCAGCCTTTGGTGAGGGCTCTGGAAACAAAGAAGGGACCTGGTTGGGTTCTAAACCTTCTGCTCCATCTCAAAATGAGGGTCAGGCACAGGTATTGCCTGGGAAGGCTGACAGGAAGTTTAGGGACCAAGGGAGAAAAGAGGAGCTTGGAAAGACAGGAAAGCAGATGGAGAAAGGACGGGATCATGAGAGCTCAGAGTCAGCAAAGAGAGCTCAAGGTTGAGCAAGGAAAGCACAGTGGGATCTGAGAAAGGAGGTAGTGAAAGTCCAAGGTAAGAATTATCCAAAAAAGAAGACATAGTGAGTGGCAGATGAGAAAGGACACTCATGACTGTGCCCCAAGTCTTTTCCCAAAGACGGTGAAGAGAAGAGAAAATCAAGAGTGGCTGCACTGGAAGAAAGATAGTAAGACAGTCAGCCTTAGAAGCCAGCTCACGAAGCCTGGATGATGTGACTTCTTCATCTAGATCTGATAAGACATGAGAGATGAACCCTCAGAGCTATCAGGGAGGGAGCTACGGGAACTCCACCATAGCTGGGGAGACTGCTGAGGGCCAGTTTTCCAAACTGAGTCTACAGACTGAATTTCCACTTGAAACTCCTGCCTCTACATATCTGTTCTTTTCATTTTAATTTACTTTCAAATGTAGGTTCCCCCTGTACAGACTTATCTGTCTAGGAGGTGATCTTGTCTCTTTTACAGTAATTCTCTATATGTTTCAGATAACACAACTCTTTTAACTCATTGCAATAAAAATCATGGGAATATTTTTTTTACAACCAAAACATAATTCTGTAATTTTAAGATACTGTAAGAGGAATTCAAACAGCTACTGAAAAGCAACTTGTGCCAGATTTCACTCTCTATTCTTTCGACCTTGTGACTCTAGACAGCCATTATTCCCCAAGAATCAGATAAGTAATAAACAAAGACAGAATTGCAGTCATTGGCTTCCTTATAAGGAAACATCTCCTCACTTATAAAAGTACAGGTCATAGCAGAAGTAATGTAAGGTGGTTGTGCAAGTTAGTAAAGGCCACTGCAAACATCTGGCCACGAGACGTCAGACAGCAGTCATTGTTAAAGGCAGAAATAGGCACCTAATGTTCTGTCCAGGGACACTGTGGGAGCATCTAAGCTGCTAAAGAGGGACCAGCCATAAGTTTCCTGATCACCTCATTGCTTCATTAGCTCACATCCCACCTCTTTTTTTGTGCTCCATCTAGCTCTCTCCAAAATAAACCCCAGCATGGTTCCAGGGATAATCCATGCCAGGGGCTACTCCCAAAAGGCAGTACAGATCATAAACATCATGACGGTATGCATCATTTTGGCTCCTTTCAGTCCCTACACAGTCCTGCAGCTCTACCCCAGAAATCTTTGCACCCTACAAGTCCCTTGCACAAATGATTTCATGCCGTATTCTGGGGCATACAACACATCCCCTCAGCATCATGCTCTGAAAACATCATGCTAGAGGGCTGCAATCCAGCCTCCACATGATTGCAGATACTTTAAACTGCTCCCAAATGTAGTAATTATACATCTTACAGTCAGGTGAACAACACCTGGGGCCCAGCAGAGACCCAGGTCAAAGTGCTATGAAAAGGGGGGCATGGCCAACTCGTTTAGAAACAGCTCACCCTGACGTGAACATGGGCCAGTTCACATTACCTGGTCTCAGGGTGGGAGATTGCTTTTTGGTGCTCTTGCTTCTAGCAGTATAGATGTACCTTATGTCTGCTGTAAGAAAAAGGTCAACCCCACCGACACACACACAAACACATACACACATATATTACCTGATATAGGCTTCTGTGCTGCTTGGACCTGTGAGCTGGTCTTCCATAAGATAGGTATTGTGTGAGGATGACACCAAGTAGTGACTGAGAGGTTGAGTCATGTCCTGGTAAACTTTACGGTGGGAGGAGTTGAATATATTCCCATCATCGGACAGCAGGTACATCAGGAAACCATCTTTGGTCATGGCATTACCCCTCTTGGCTGCCAGATAAAAAGACAGAAACCCTATACTGAAAATCTGACACCACCAGGTTGTGCCATCATCTTCACCATGATGCCTGCTGATCTCCAGAGGATCTCAAAGGCAAAACGTGCTCCCTAGGCATTCAGCTAATAGTGAAGATACTGATGCTGTTCAGAAGATGACGACAGCTTCATCTGCCTGAAAATGCTTTTAAAAGTCCTTCACAAGCACAGCTTTTTATGGGACTTATTGTCCTTGATAACACCTAAAAAGTGTCAAAGACAGCACTTACCTCACCTGTCTCTAGAGATCTACAGTATAAAAATCTCCATTTGAGCACTTCAAGCTTCCTTCATGCCAACACAGAGAAATTGTCAGATGTCTAAACATAGCCAGAATAATCCTGTCTAGATTATCCAACGAATACATGATTTGCAAAGAGTAAATGCAAAATAACCCAACTTTGGGGAGAAATTGGGGTCTCCCCATCTTGAGGTACTAAGCTAGAACTCTAGTCAGGTCTGACATCTGCAAAGCATTGTCCCTCTCCTGAAGGTATACCAGGACAGTGCAAAAACAGCCTATGATTCTGTGCTCATTTCTTGAAAATGTCCTCCAAGGTGCTCCAGACTGGTTTCACTTAATTTCTGAGCAGAAAGAGAGTTCTGTGACTGCTCTGCTAAACAGCTGTCACCTTCTTGGCCCTCTACTCAGAGATTTCATCACCCAATGGCTTTTCAGGTGCCCACATTCAAATCTGCTTCTGGAGAACAGAAATATTGCTACATTCTTAACCTTGCAAAGCCACGTGAGGTCTTGTCATTTGAATAAGCCTTTCCCACAGGAATTTCATCACCCTCTAGCCAACTCTATATCCACCCCTCTCCAGCTGCTCAGTGTACCCAAGACAAAATTGAAGAGGAATATTTCCCAGGCTGTCCTGTGCCCTCCTCTCTAAGAGCTGCTAATGTTCCCCTAGAAGACTGGTGTTTTAGAAGCAGCTGCAAGGAGAAAATGACACACATGGCTGCAGAAGAAAGCAACAGCAAAGCAATTCATAGTTCATCAAGAAAGCAAGATTTTGAACCAGACCAGCGAGGGTTTCCAACCTACCTCTTTCATTGGGCTCGTATCTCTGAATTAAGGCAGGGGCAGCAACAACAGCATCTTCTTCTTGCTGCGTCTCATAGAGGAACCTCACCAGGTTCTGGCAGGACATGAACCCTTCTGCATCTGAGTACTTTTGGAAGATCTTGTCTATTTCCTTCCTCTCTGTCAGTATCTTGTAAAATTCCTCTATCTCATCATCCTCCAGAGCCTCTGTTTTGGACTTGTCACAGTGCTGTAAACGTAGAGGGGAGAAGGAGTGAAAACCTTCTTTCCTTCTGGCATATGCCAGCCGTAATCTGCACCAGGGCTACACAACGCAGAACACAAAATAATTGGAAACAGTTACTGGCCAGTGAATGAGAAGCACTTGGTCAATGACAATGGTTCTCATTGACAAGGCCAACAGTCATATAACAGTTGCAATTATTATTATTTACTCTTATTATCAGTATGCTGAAAAGCAGCAGGCATGGCCTTGAGCTCCACTGCACTGTGTACTGTGCAAACCAGAAGTTAAAAGGACAGCTCCTGACAATCCAAGTACAAATCAAGGCCCAAGAGAAATGTACCTCCTGATCGCAAGAGGTGGAGGAATATAGGGAAACAACTCAATGCATCTTAAACTATTGATAGAGATCATGGCCTAAAATCCAGTAAGTAAAGTGAAAAGGGCCTTCCCTTTGACCTTAGTGGGTTTGAGCTCAGGCCTCAAGAGACTATCAAGGCTAGCAGTAGGGCTGGTTGCAAAGATGGCATCAAAACGGACTTTAAAAAAAGTCCTGCTAAACATGTGCATGTTTAGGTATGAAAAAATCCTTCTTTCCATAGAACTTGTCCATTCTCATTCAAAAACCACCAAGTAACAAAATTTCCACAAAATTTCAAATCAGATATCAGCTTCTCAAGGAGCTGTAATTCAAATTTTTCATGCCCCCATGTTCCTCTGTGGTTTGAACTTCTCCACTAGATAACAGCTCTGACAAGGACTTGACTGACCATGAAAGATTAGGAATTTAAGATAGGCAAGTTAGCATCTCCATGAAGGACAACAGTTTTTCCAACAAGAAATATTTCCAGTTTATTTAAAATATTTCCGGGTTCAATTTGCCATCAGAAATTTCAGTTTTTCTGTGGCAAATCCTGATATGAATTTTTTTGTTTGTTCCTAGCAGAATTTTTCATGGAGAGGTAAACAACAATTTTTCAGTCATCTCTGGGATGTAAACCTCTGCATTAAATATGGGCTGAGCAAAATAAGTTGCAATGGAAAGCAAGAGCCGATCTCAGAGGACTCACTTATGGCAGGGAGCATTATACTGCTTCCAAGTGTTTTTCCCTGCAAATTTCAGCGATCAACCCACTTCTAGTTAATGCCTTGATGATTCCCTCTCTCTCAATATCTAAAGCCAGCAAATAGACCCTTAACAGTGGTGTCCTCATCTCATAAAGCCCACTCACATCTTACATTTCAGGTAAGTCTGAAAAATCTCCTTTCTGGCATGGATGCCAAAACCCCTGCAGGACATGGCTTGCCTTACTTAGTCTTTGGCCTAAAAACTTCTCTTCTACAGGCCTGAACTTGAAATGGAAAGTGTGTTCCAGGCCACGCAGACGAGGCTGTGGTGCATTTCATTCCACCCTTGCTATGGACAAGTTGCTACCAGCTACTACAACTTAGCTGACGGTAACTTGTCAAATCAGAGGAATTTCATCACTTTCCATCTTTGATCTCTTATGACAGATAGAGCTATTGTCCTGGCTTTTATGACCAAAATGCATGTCTCAGTTTAACCAGTCATCATACTAAACTCAACCTAACTCTGCTAAAGATCTCAGTGATGGCCACAGTGGCTTTGGCAGTGCCTCAAGCAAGATGATAATGAGGGACTTTCTTCTCCTATGAATACTCCACTGGAGTCCTTCACTAGAAGTTTATGGTGCACATATAAACCCAAACAAAATTATCATGATGTACAGCATTTCACAAACTGAACTGATAGCAAAAAGTTTGACTTGTCCTGACTTCAGAATCTGCTGGGTAAAAGCTATGGGCTCATCTCAGGGATGGGACAACCTGTGAAATGCTCAGTACCAGAGACACCTTCAAATTAGGTTTGAGCAGTCCAGGAACTGTCTTTTCCTTGCTGCCTTCCATGTGTGTATGATCCTGTGCTGTGGCTTTGACAGATCTCACAAGCTAAGCTGAGCATGATGCTTAGCAACTGAAAAAGGAATATAAAGAGGGAAACCAACTGGTGGAGACTGCAGGGATGCCATGAATGACAGATGTTCTTTTCTTTAAGACACAACAGGAAAAATGACATATTACTTCTAGAAAACTGGCATTATAACTGATGTGCCTTGGGAAGTTCGTTCATTAGTGGCCATTAAAGATTGTGATGGAAATAGGACAATAGCATTGGCATCACAGTCATATTTCAGGACAGATCAGATGCACGGTACAAAACTGAGCTCCTTCTGCTTGGGCTACAAGAGCTCCAAATTAGAAGGAGAATCTCAGCCCAAAAGACTGTGTTTTACCTCACTTGTATGGATCATGAACCATGAGTCCTGAATGAACATTGGCCTGCCAGAAAAAGTCAGAACCTTTCTGATGCACCAGAATGAATATTCAGGTTGAAATGAAGTGAGCAATTAGAGGAGCTTTGCACAGTTTCTAGTTGCATTGCATATGTCTTACTCAGGTGTGTCCAAAACCTAGATGTGGACACAGATTTATGTGATGAAAAGCAAGAATAATATGAGAACATGCCCTGTAGCTCTCTCTTGGGTCCTTGATCACCCTTCCTTCCTGTGACTGAATGAAGAAAAACTCACTAAGACAGAAAAGATCACCCTTTTAATATGCTGTAATGTCTCTCAGTCCATCGAAATTTAGGCAGTATGTAAACTGAAAATGTAATTGCTTTAGGAACAAGACAGACTCTTCCTGGAGGCAATTCAGCCCACAAGAGATCTGAATTAACCTCTGAAAAGCCTCTCTTTCCAGTGCCTATACAGGAAACTTATAACAATTACATGCCTAATGAGGGTACTTCAACTAGCTGCCTGCATTCAGATGGTTTGAATCAAGTTTTAGTAACTACTTGGAGTCCTTAAGCAAAAAGAGAATTGAACTTCATCAAGTTTCCACTCCTAGAGTTCCCTTGTAACTATTGCAGTAGCAGAAGAGGTTCACTGAATGAAGAGGAGACTGCGCCTCTAAAAAAAAGGGGTGTCTTTTCAGATGTTTGATGTTTGAAGATGTAGGGAGTGATTCATCTGACATATGTGAGATGTATCCTTTAGGATGAGGTGAATCGCACCCCGGTGTCCATTATTGGCTTGACCTACACAGACTGCAAAGGAAGTGTAAGTGACTACTTCCAATGTAAATGTCTGCACTGGAGACATCTAACTCAGAGGAATCCCAGCCCTACTGCTATTCTTCTGGGGTCTTCCTGAGCAGGGAATAAAGCATGGGATATGCCAGCCAGAGCAGGCAGTACATCTGGAAGATTTTGCATGCTGAAATTCTTTAAGATCTGCTGATGACCGTCCCCCAATTCTTGCAGAGTTACCAGAGAGAGAGAGACCTTCATAAAGCAAGGATTAGGAAACTTGTACCTCCTTTAGGGCATGGTCCTAGTGAGATCTTGCCAACCTTCCCTGCTATCTGCTTACAGGAAGGAGCAGGAGAACTACAGCCCGGTGCCCAAAACCACCCACATGTTTACCGCTGATCAGAAAAAGCATTTCTGACACTGCCCACCCATGAATTCAAATCCTCCTTTGGACAGGATGGAAGTTTGGAAATTATCCAGATG